AATCGATACAGGGCTTTAGAATATCGATACAGTATCGGGAAATGAAATATCGCGATATTTCAGTGTATCGATATTTTCTTACACCCCTATTTCTAACTACGAAATGGTCTCTTGTTTTAGAAACTTAGGTACATTTTTTTAGTTTTCTACATGAATTTTTCTCTGAAAGGAGGATTTACATGGATTTGGTGGCTGCTAGCAGTGTCACCTTTTACCTGCTGAAACAACAGCATCACCTGTTTGGTTTGACAGGAACTCTGAAAAGAAAATAACTGAAACTAAATTTATTTATTTTAATCAAAACTGGTGGTCTTGATTTGAACAGAATACACAGGAGTTTGATGTTTGAGTGTCTTTTTGAATGAAAAAAAGTCAGGAAAACATGCTAGATTTTTGCAAGTTTCTTTTATCTATTCCATGAAACAACAATGTTTTATGACCGGCCACATGGAGCTGGTTGCTCAGGACATGATAGTGGTGTCCAGTGGAGCCGGAGTCTTTTAGCAGCAGGCCTTTTAAACACTACTCTCTGAATCGCTTGCAATCACAGGAGCCGAAAGCCGAGGGAAGCAAGGTAAGGGCTGCATTGTTACTTTTCAAATCCAGGGTTTGTTCTTATTTGAGCCCCTTGTTTCTTCTCCCACCCCCACCTCCACCCCCCCCAACCTTCCTCTCAACTAACATCATTCTGTGAGAAATCAGTCCTGCCACAAGCAGTGCAGTCAGAGATTTGAGTGAATCTTTTTCCAAGCAGGCTGCAGAAACCCTACCAGCATACMTTTTGCTCTGGTGTGTGTGATAGTTATAGCCTGTATAAAATATATAAATAAAAAAAAACACTTTGTAATGCTGGAGACGGAGAATATTGCTGCACCTTTAAGTGAATTTATCACACAAGGTGAAAGCTGTAAAAGTATTTGGTTTCCAGTTAGGAAAGCGCTCTGCATGCTTGCCCACGGCTCGGCATTAATCACACTGCCAGGAGCTACTTGCCGTCATTCAGTTATGCTGTAAAAAGCTTCATGAAAGTCCGTTGCAGCGCTGCGTCTACGTGGCAAAATTTCTTGCGGAAGTGATTTCTTTTTCTTTTCTTTTTTTTTTATGATTTTGATGAAACGTGCTGGCYGCTTTCCTACAGGTTTGCTGTTGCTTGGTTTAAAATTTCTGGCTASTAGGGTTGGACAAYATTGGCAAAAAAATAAATCACGATTAATTGTGGTATTTAGCCGATAACGATTAATTTGACGATTAATCCCCTGAAGTCCCTGGACACCCTTATTTCATAGTCACATGACCAATTTAGTGGGAAAGATTTGCTCTTCATAAAAATCTGTTCCAAATTGTGTCAAAATTACAGACTTCAAGCTACACATCAAATTTTAAATTGTGTTGATAGATAAATAAGTTACAGAACTTTGTTTTAATGTTCGTCATATTTGAAGCTGAGAGGAGCAGCGAGCGGATTCTRCCTGTTGGCATTAATCGTATTAATCGTCAAGTGCCAAAAATTAATCGATTAATGTTTTTCTGACGATTAATCACACACAATACGATTATGCCCACCCCTACTGGCTACTCCTCAACCCTTAACTGCACGTTACTGCAGCCAAATGTGAATTTAATTTTAAATATTTGGATTTGAAATGACAAGCAGTGCAAGCGTATCTATAGGTAGGCAGCAAGCACCTGTGAGTTTGTAGTACTTTGGTAGTTTTCAGAACGGTGTGATCTGATGTGGTCTTAACTTTTTGTCTGGCATGCTTTTCTTTCTTCATCTCTGATTGATTGAACCGGTTGAGGCGGGAGTGACACCTGGGTGGTTTATGTGGTTGTGCTCTGCAGATTTTCCTCCCCCTTCTGTTAGAAACACAACTGTCTGGTTCTTAAAGGACAAACCGGGGTCTGAATGTGAGAAGCAGTTGTTGGATGGAGGTAGTTGCCCCCCTCCCCCAAATTTTCCTGGATTCAGTCCAGCTGGCGTGAGCTGCATCCTTCATTTGACCTGAGAAGTATTTACTTTTCAAACAGATAACCACCTCCTCAAGCCAGGCTGAATTAAGTCACAGGTTTTTGCAAAAACAAACAACTACTGGATGCACTTTGGTTAATTAAAGTTTTCACAGTTATATTTTTTAAAAACATACGTTACAAATCACAGTGAAGGAAATGATCCCAATTAGAGCAGAGAAAAACGGTGTACAAAAACACACGACTTACTAAGGGCTGCAACGATACAGAGAATTCACAACTCAATTCGATACTTTAGTCTCATAGTCCCATTTAGTTCAATATTTTTTCCGATACAAAAAAATAGAAATGTCCATGCCCTTCTTAACTTGTAGTTTATTAACCATAAAAATTTGTTTAACCTCAAAAGTCCAGTTTTTAACTTAAATGTTGCTGAAACAGTAAGTTTCTCAGTGGATCTGTGCTCAACAATGCAGCCTAGGTGGAGTAGTCGAACACAGATCCACTGATCCTTCAACACAGAGCATCTTCAGAAGACAAGCTGATAAAATAAGTGTTAAAAATCTGTATTGTTCCATACATAGTGCGTATTGAACGGTTCGATAAAGATGTATTGTTGCACTGGTGTAACTTACACGTGCTTTCTGATCAGATTTGTTAATCCAGGGTTTATCCACCACAATAAACTGGTTCTATCTACTGTTTTGTTTCTAACCTGTCCGTCTGCTCAGGTTGAACTTGTTACCGCAGACATCACGTCCTCAGAAACCTACAGCTGTTTGAAGCTGTCTGCTTGTCTTTCATGTGTGGCTCCACTAATAGTGAAGTAGCTCTCGACACTGAAGGACCATCTCTGTAGTTTCAAGTGTTCGTGTCGGTGATGAGATCAGTGGAGGATTTCAGAGTGCGTTTCAAGCCTTTTGGGTTCAGGAGCCTGTTTTGTTTGCATGTGGGGGTGCATGTAATTGCACTTCATGTAAGTTCACTTGGCTGTTAAATAAATTATAGAGGTAAATCTGTGGTTTTTATAATTACAGCCATGTAATGTAGCCACTTGGAGGAGGTTGTGAAGTGAAGATTAGAGATGGTTTTTAGATTTTTCAGTCTAAATTTAAATTATTCTTTCACTGGGAGCTCCTGGTTAACCACATCATCTATTATAAATATAGAAATGTCAGAAATTTCATGGCAGCATCTTATAAAGATAAAAGATGCACATTAATTTTATTTGTAAGGACGATTTATTAATATTATTTAAAAATACAGCATTTCTTTGCCCAGACCTCCCCTAAAACCTTCGTTTCTGCTTTTGGACCCTCCGACGAACTCTGTTGTGCTTTCTGCAGCTTTAGCTCAGGCCATAAAGGAACGGAAAAGAAATCAAGAATGAAGCTGAAGTGCTGTTTTATTTCCTGCTTTTACTGAGCAGCAGTCTGTCTTGAATCTCCTGCACGCTCCTCCTGAGCCGGTCCAGACTGTGAGTGGGAGGAATTGGCCTGAGATGCATGTGAGCAGATGAGAATTTAGTGCTTCATAGTTGATCTTTTACGTCGTAAGTGCAGRTCTGGCTGCGTTGTGATATTTGTTTCACAAGGATGTTCAAAAATAAAAATAATTAGCACTCGTAGGATTTCTTTCAATACATTTAGAGATATTCAACCAGAAGTCCTCAACAATACCTGACTTTTTATGGCGACCCCTCCCCCTTTTTATAATATCCATCTTTGAAATTTATGAATATGCAAATTCTTTGAAAAAGCTTTAAATTATTTAAAGTTTTCGCTGCCAAATACGAGCATCATCTAACAGTAAGCCATCCAGTTTTTATTTGAAGTGCAAATTTAACCAGAGACTTTCTTCTGCATGTTTGCTGAGGGAAGGAAAAACAACGTTATAAAGTTCCCATGATGAAAGGCTAACACTGATTTATTTAAAAAAAGAAGTCGAGCAGAGCACAACCAAAGGAAACTTTCTCTGCAGTCGAGCTAATAGATTTTATTTGAAGGATTTGTTCTTATTCCAGCCTGACTCCCCGCCGTGCAGCCGTGATGGATGATTTAAATCTCACATCTAGGTTGGAGGATGGAGAAAATAGTTTCCTCTCCTTGCTGTAGTCGGCGGGTTGGAGGGGGGTCACCCAAACTTGTGCTCTGCTGTTTCTCCTCTGCAGGACTGGGAGACGGAGAGCCACGACTGGTACTGCTTCGAGTGCCACCTGCCGGGCGACGTGCTCCCGTGTGACAACTGCTTCCGGGTTTATCACCTCAAGTGTCTGTCTGAGGAGTGCAAACCCAAAGATGGAGGCTCCCACTGGCAGTGTGTCGTATGCAGGGTGAGTGCTCTAACCTGCCACAGCTTTGTGAATTAACCCTAATTTACCAGTGTATCAATCCAAGGAGTCAGTTTGTGGAATAATCTGGAAAATGATGTTAAAAGTGCCAAATCAAAGTATATGTTCAAGAGATGGATTAAGGTTGGATTGTTGAAAAATATGAAACAGTATAATGCAGTGGTTCCCAAACTTTTCAGCTTTTGACCCACAAAATAACAGTAACAGAGACCTGAGCCCCCAACTATTTTTGGATGATAAACATTTGTATCAGGTCAACAAAACATGGGCATAGTAACAATATTTTTATACTACATTTATCCATTTTAAATATACTAACCTCACTCCTTTGTAACAACTAAGGCAAAAACGTATATAAGTCAGAAAATCTTTTCAGGACCCCACTTTGATGTTTCAGGACCCCACTTTGGGTCCCGACCCCAACTTTGGGAAACGCTGGTATAATGTATAACCATTTAATTTGTTGTTCTAGAAWGATTTGATGTTCTTATTTTGTTTTAACTAAAGATTACTGTTTGAATTGAGGAAAAAAGGGGCAGATATTATAAGATTTTTCTTCTTCTTCTCTGCTTCTTTTCATTTCATTGTATTTGTATTTTTTTATTTTTATTGTAAATAAAATGTAGTTTTTTTAATGAGTGTTTGTTTGAAGTCAATTACAGTATGTTGCTCTGACTCTTCCACATTTATTGCTGGATTATCTCACGATCTTGCATTTCCTGCACACGCTTCTTGAACCTTTGTCTGTGTTTCGCACCTGACCGGAGCAGAGGGGACGCTGCATAAATTGGGTTGCAAACGAACGGCGTTGAACTGCGCAGCACAACCACATTGTGCGAATTAGGATTACAAAGCAAAGTTTTTTTTTCTTTCTGTCACGTTACTCTGTAAGGCTGTTTGGGGTTTAGAGGGTTGTCRGTAACCCAGAATCATATTTAAAACCAAATTCTTCAAAATTCAGCCCATTTTAACAAGAATTCAAAAAAGATTTGATGAATAAAGTCTATTATTTGCTGATAAAACTGAATGTTTTACCACGGCTGTTTTAAAATGYAATCGTTTCGGAGGCTGATTAAGTAGTAAGGCTGTTGTTAGACCTAGTCCAGGTTTTAGAATAAAAACTTTTATTGTTTTTAAGCTTAGTTGTTCTAAAAACACGTTAATGGTGGAAGCAATGTCTTGTTTTATTTAGTTTAGTTTCATTTATCCTGCTACACTTCAGCTGAAATCCACTTTTTAAAAAAAACAAAACCTCATTTTTCTCCAGTCAAATATTTCCGAACCGCTGTTTGGTTGAATTATTTTTTTATTTAATATTATTCTCATTAGTTATTCCCTTTTTTAAAACCAGTAAAAGCAATAAATTAGTTTTTACCATGAGGTATTTTTTCTTTTCTTTTTCATCTTTGTGTTTTATTTTCACCACATTTATTTTATTTGTCAGCTTCTGTTTTAACTTCACTCTGTCCTGTTCTAAATGCATGTCTTTCTGGAGCTACAGTTAATGTTAAAGCAYTAAAATGTTTTGTTATTATTTCTCCTTTTATTTTTCAGGGGAGTAAAAAGAAGAACCTGAACAAACAGGAGATGTGTAAATATCTGCGTTTTATCGTGCAGCGTATGAAGGAGAGGGTAAGAACAGCCTGGTTGTTTGGATTGTGTTGTAGTTCATTAACTCAGCTGACTTTTCTTTATATTTCATGTTAAAAATATTCTTATTTAAGCTTTTATCAGACGTGACTTTATTTTTTTAAAATGCTTCTATCAGTAAAATTATAATTTCTCTTCCCTAACATATATTCACCAAAAACTATATAAAAATGGACATTTTGTCTTCTTTCACTCTGCGCTCTGAGGCTTTGGCCTCCTCTAAATGAGTATAAGTGCCTGCAATAATCATAGATAATCACAGAAATATCCCTTTTTTATTCTCCTCCTGTTAGACCAGCTCTTTGCTCTTCCTCTCTGCTCACATCCTTCAGCTCTTGTAGCATCCCTTCTTTGATTAAAGGTGATTTAAAAATCACCACATCGTTTCCCCCTCCAAGCCCCGCCCACCTCCATCTCATGTCTGTTTTTAAAGTGGCGTCAGATCTCATTATTAACCCTGAATTCTTTTTATTACTCCATCTTATTCCCGCGTCGCCGCTCCTCTTGAAGAAATCACATTAAATCTTGATCGTGGCTCTGCGTTGCAGGCAGTGGACCTGAACAAAAAGGGCAAAGACACGAAGCATCCCATGTACAGACGACTGATCCACACTGCCATGGACGTCACCAACATCCAGGAGGTAACGAGACGTTTATCTTTGATGCCTCACGTAAACACTCGGAGTGTAACGTAACTAAGTACAAATACTTTGTTACTGTACCTAAGTAGAATTTTTGTGTATCTGTACTTTACTTGAGTAATTTTTTCAGCCTACTTTTCAATTTTACTTCTTACATTTTCACACAATTATCTGCACTTTTTACTCCTTACATTTAAAAAAAAGTAGAAAGTCGTTACTTTTATTTCATTTTTCCTTTTTTCATTCCAGCTTGTTGTTATAAAAAATAAATACTATCCATATAAACTGAGCCTCCTATAGAGTGAATTTAACTGTGGTTGAATGAGAAGTATAAATATATAAAACTCTGATAGTGTATTAGTTTGTACACAAACAAATCATGTCACACTCCAGCAGGACAGAATCATTCAAATAAAAGGACTGTACTTAAGAAGTATTTGCAGCCTTGATATATGTATATAAACTGAAACAGCTGGACTAGTGC